CTCTCTCTCTCTCTCTCTCTCTCTCTCTCTCTCTCTCTCTCTCTCCTCGCTTTTGCACTGCTGCAATAAAGCTCTCTTGGTCGTTCTGAGTGTTGTGGTCACTTTCCTTTCAAAGCTATTCAGATTTCAGGCTCTCCTATTACGTTGTATATATCCTATATGTGTGTATAACACACAGCTACTTTTTCTGCTGTTACTCTTATTGAAATATTTTAATTACAAAGAAGAAAGGACATATTATTGTAGTAAATAATTCTAAAATACAGATAAATACAAACTCTGCTTCCTCCAAAATTCGGTTTCTCCTCAAAGATAACCACATTAAAAATACTGCATGTAGTATTTTAACATTTATTTAAGGCTTTTTCGTCTATATACAAGTTTTAACATAAATTTATAACTGTCATAATATCATTCTGCCTCATACCCTTGCCACTGACTAAAATGAATGCAATATCTTTCTGTGTCAATACTTATAGATCCACTTCACTACTTTAACTATTCCCTAGAATTACAAAGTATGTATGTGCCACAATTAACTGAACCAATCTCCTCCTGATGGACACACAAATTGCTTCCCATTTGTTGCTATGATTACAATTGATAACAACATTTTATAGAACATCAATTTTTGAGCAAACATGCATGTTTCATTATAAGAAAGATGTGTAAAAACACAAATTAAAGTGGAAAGAGTGTGAGAACTGTAAATTTTTATGAATATTGCTCACATTATTTTGTTCCAATGAAGCTGTACCAATTTATATTCTCACATATTAATGAATGTGAATAAATTAATATCTCACAGGCATTTTATTTTATCAAATTTTTAAAATTTTGGTTAAAGTTGATTGAAAATTGATTGTCACTCTTATTTTAATTTGTATCTCCTTGTTTTCTAAGAAAGTCTTGCAGGAATTGTACTTAATTCCTTACATACATAAAGTAAAATTTCAATAATGTTGTCTTGAACAACAGTGGGTACATAATTTAGCATACTGATATGCCAATAAAATATATCTCTTTACTTTGAGGAGAAACAATTTGGTCGAATGATCAAATGCCAGGAATGGACCCACACAGGAAACCCACAGTTAATGAGGGGTTTCAGGAGAGTAAAACAATTTTCAGAATGCATGAGACATATCATAAGCTAATCCTAGTCCAGAGAACCTACAGAAGCTGGAAGTCAAATATCCACTTCTGACTTGTAGCATAGTGTTACTGAAAGTTCGGTCCTTGTCCCTGATGCCAATTCATGGCCAATTGGATAACAAGGGCATGGTTTTGAGAAAAAGGAAGATGAAGGTTTATTGCTTTGCTAGCAAAGGAAGAGCATGGGGACTCCAGTCCCACAGGCTGTGGTTCTGCCCATAAGGGAGAATAGGGCTTTTAAAGGAGCTCCTCAAAGGCTGCATTCCAGGTGTGTCCCAACCGGTCCTGTGTGCCCTGATGGTGTATGGAAATTCACTTGTTAATTTGGAAGAAAGTCACTTCCTAGATCTTCTGATGATATCTCCTTCCTGTGCTGGGTGTGTGCACTCAAGGACAGATAACTTATAGGCCAAGGATGGGGAAAAGGTAATATTGTTCCTTGTCCCAGGTTAGGGAGGGGAAGAGGAAGAAGAGGAAAAGAAAAAAAAAATAATGTCCCTTTTAAAATAAGCAGCTGAGGGCTATATTCCAAAGTTGAAGTGGACCACTGTTACAATAGGGTAAAGAAGGAAGGAGAGAAAATGGAGAATCTTGGATAACTTTGATGACAAAGCTTGAGAGTCTCTGAATCATTATTAGCATGATGATCTGAGTGAATGGATCAATTGGACAAAATGATCAGAGGCATTACAGACACCCACCCTCAGAATCTCCTTTACCCACTCACTTGTCAGGTAGAGTATGTCAAGTTCCTCTGCATCACTCAGTGATATTAATGGATTCTGGAAGAGCAGCATCTCTTCAGTGCTTTTATTACATCTCTTCAGTATCTTTATTACTGTTATAACCCTGACTTGATTGAATTGGAAATTTTTTAAAAAAACGGATTCTGTACTAGCCATTCCCAAAGTTATTGTGTGACCTGTAGTAAAAATTTCTATCACCTTTTACTATGAAGTGAGGACAATAAACCAGGTGTCAGGTGGTTCAATGCATTCTTGCCAGCATTCCAGGCCTAGGAATTCTTGTGATCCCTGACAAGAATGGATATTTCTTCCGCTGTATATGTGTCCCTTCCACCACAGAGGTTGATGCTGTAAAACTGGGTGTGATTGGTGATTAAAGACAGTTACAACAGGGCAAGTAGGGGCCATGAATAATACAAGGGAGTATGTGGGTGTAAAGAGGCGGTAGTCCCTGAAGCTAATTACTTCACTGACTCTATAGTAAAGGGTTGAGTGTAGATATATCTTGAAAAATGATCCTGATGTTATCCCCAGCTTATATTGCTTCCCATAGTCCCTGATTTCTCTGCAGAACAATGCTATTTTTGTGACTATGTCTGGTGGCCTTTGTTGTTATCAGATGCTAAAGGAGGGGGCTTATCTTCAATACAAACATTTCCAGGTGGTTGCATAAACACTAAAGATAGTACAGTTCCTTTATAAATTGAAGGGGTGACAGGTATATGTGGAATCAAAATCTCTACATTTATTACTGTCATAACCTTGACTTGATTGAATTGAAAATTTAAAGAAAAAAAAGGATTTTGTACTAGCGATTGCCAAAATTATTGCATGCATTCTATGCGGTAAAAATTTATGTCAACTTTTACTGTGAGATGAGGGCATTGAACCAGTTACCATCCTTAGGCTGACTAAGGGAGAGTTCCAGACCCTAAGAGAAGTAAAAGTGAAAACCCTAAGGAAGTTCTGAGAGAATTGCTCACTTCAGAAAAGACCGTTTAGCCCAGAACCTGGTGCCTGGTTAGTACTGCTAAGTCCATGCCCAGATGATAGGCTGAGGTACCTTTTCACTTCATATGGAGACTGAGGATCATAGAGTATAAGGTGAGGTGACTGGGGAGAACAACATTGATTTCTGACTGGATGACTCAGATCAGGAGAGAGAGAGGAGTCCCAGCCCTCACAGGAGTAGAAGAAAGACCCCTGTGTGAGCTCTTTCAGAATAAATAATCCCTACAAAACACAGGCTACCTCAATACTCCTAAGAGCTACACCCTTGCTCTGAGCCCTGAGAGACCCTATATAAAGGGGGTGGCATACATTGGTTTCTCTATATCTGTTTCTGATTTCACAGAGAAGTAAAGACATTGCTGTTCTGAACTCGGCTGCTGTGGTCATCAGAGGAGACAGATTCCAGGGAACAGTTCCAGGACCTGTGTAGAATGAAGGTAAAGAGCCTGAGTAAGGTTTGAGGGCAATCCCTATACCAGAAGATTGAAGGGCCAATAGAATTCCACCCCTATGTAAGCCCTTGGAAGCCTTGGATAGGAATTTCCTGATATAGCAGCACTATTTGACATCCTAGGATTCAGAGAGGTGACAACATTGAACCAGGTTTGGGCACCAGATGAGCAGAAGGCGGCGGTTCAGACCTTCCAGCAATGAAGGTGAAGACCCTAAGTATGATCTGAGGGAATAATATACACCAGATAAGAAGGATTCCATAGACCCAAGTTCTATGGGTCTAGAGGCCCATGATAGACCCACTGTAGTAGCCAAATGTAATATACCCTGAATTCCAGCTCTGGATCTCTCATGAAAGTGAAAAACTTGGTGTGAGAGACAACAGTAAGTCATAAAAGGGAGGAGTCCCAGAACCTGCCAGGAGGTAAGGTAAAGACCCTTTGTGAGGTATGAGGGCACCAACTACCCTAGTCAGAGGGGGCCCCACAGAGTCCTGCCCTGGTGTTAGGGGATAGACATCAGGAAGAGAACACCTGATTTAGCACAGGCTGAATGCTCCCTCTGACTGAAAGGGTAAATATTGACCAAGGATTACGGCCTCAGGCTAACAGATGGAGGTGTTTCCAGATCCTAACATAACTAAAGGTAAGGACAGTGATTGAGATCTGAGAGAACCACCCAACCCAGAAGGGCAGGGTTGGTGCAGAGTCTCACCCCTGATATCAACCCAAGTAGGCCCCAGATGGGAGTGTCTGAATGTAACACTGGCATTTGGTTTTCAGAGGAACTATTTCCCCACTGCTTAGAAGTAATGTAAGGACTTTGAGTGAAGCTTGAGGCCATTTCTTCCCCATAACAGAGTGGACTCCAAAGATTCCTGACGGGCCCTAAAGGAGGATCACCTGATGAAACATACTGATTTCTCCTGGTGGAAACTCAGAGAGATAAGGTCACTGAAACAGAGTATCAATCTTAATTCAGAGCAGGAGTCACAGGCCCTGAACAGGAATATTAAAAGAAAGGATCTTGAATCCTGAGGGAACTATCCACTCCAGGCTTAAGTTGGGCAGAGTCCTGCCCATACTTTAAGCACCAAGGGACTATCAGAGAGCTATTTGAGGGTGAGGGCTCTTTCAATTCCTGCTTTGGAATTCTCAGAGCTGTGGTACTTTCTCTGGGAAGATAAGTTTCACATCAGAAGAAGGTGGAGGCCCGCGCCATGCCAGAAGCAAAGATGAGGACCCTGAATGAAGAATGAGAACCCTAATTCTGACCTCAGTATAAACAGTGTTCCTCAGAGCTCTTCTGTCATCCTGGGTATCACCAGGTAGATATGGTCAGATAAGAATCTCCTTCAGTTTCTTTTCCAGGATAGAAGAGAGATGATGGCACTGAAATAAGGAGTCAACATCAAAGCAACAGCGTAGAAGAATCCCAGAAAACACTGAATGGGAACAAACAGACATCCCCTGCCTCAAAGCTGGGACCTGCCAGGCCTTGTTTTCTCTCCTCAGAAATCAGATGTGGTGGGTAGCAAACTATGACACATCCTAGTTATGTCTCAGGCAGGAGACAAGCAGATCAGAGATTCAAGGCTGCATGGGTTCCTTGAATAACATGCGCGCGCGCACACACACACACACATACCACACAAAACATGCAAAAGACCCATCTACAAAGCCAAAGTGTGTGTCTCTCTAGTGAAGAAGAACAAAACACTTAGTCCATTCTTCTCCAGGTCACTAGATCATCTACTTTTGCCTGCTGCAACTGAACAGTCATCATGCTTTCAGGTCAGAAGAGCAAAGTCAAGGCCAGGGAAAAACACCGCCAGACTCCAAAAGAACCTAAAGATCTAGTGCGTGATCAGGCCACTGTAGCAAAAGAAGATGATTATGCCTATTCCTCTTCTGTTCATTTCAAGGGTATTCCTCATGGTTGCCTTGCTGAGACACTTTATGATCCCCAAGATCCTGGTAGAATCCCATCTACCACCATCACTTCTGCAGCTATTTTATTCACAAGATCTGTTGAAAGTATAAACAATAATGTAGAAGAAAGGGCAAGATCCCCAGAAAGCCCAGTGGCCACTGAGAACTTTCTCATAGGCCATTTAGATGAGAAGGTAGTAACATTGATGCATTACTTGCTCTTCAAATGAAGGGGCCCATTACAAAGGCAGAAATACTGAAAAAATGATTTCCAGACTCATAAGAACCACTTTTCCGAGATCCTTAAGAGAGTTTCTGAGCTCCTAGAGTTGGTCTTTGGCCTTGAGTTGAAGTAAGTGGATCCCAAAAGGCACATCTATGTCCTCATCAACAAACTGGAACCAAGCTCTGATGCAAGGCTAAAGAAGTGCACCCAAGATGGCCTGCTAATGACTATCCTAGCTGTGATCTTCACAAAGGGAAACTGTGCCTCTGAGAAGCAAGTCTGGTAAGTGTTAAATATGATGGGATTCTATGAAGGAAAGGAGCACACTTCACTTTTGGGGATCCCAGGAAGCTGATCACCAGAGATTTAGTGAAAGGAAAAGTACCTGGAGTATCGGCAGGTGGCCAACAGTGATCCTCCATGCTATGAATTCCTGTGGGGCCCAAGAGCTCATGCTGAAACCAGTAATATGAAAGTCCTGGAGTTTTTGGCCAAGATCCATGATTCTATTCCTATAGCCTGCTATGAGGAAGCATTGAGAAATGAGGAAGAAAGAGCCTGAGCCAAAGCTGAAGCAAAGGCTTGCATTAGTGCCCTGGCCAATGTGCACTCCAAGGCCACATCCAGGAGTTCTTCCCACCCTTAGTAAAGTCTAAGTCAGATTCATCTCTAGGAAATTGATAAGTTCATAATATCAGTAGTGTAAGGTCAAGGTGGGGCTGCAGGCAATACAGCATGTAACATGTTGGTGTTTATATTCTATGTAGTAATTTTAATAATTTGTTTAAGGCAATGTTCCTTTTATTAGAAATCTGAGTAACTTTAGAATCTAAGTTTATGAATGACATTGCTCAACCTTTTTCTGTGTATGAGATTTAATAGTGATTTATTATTTTGTTTATTATTATTATTTTGTAACAAGGATTGAACCTAGGGCCACTCAACCACTGAGCCACATCCCCAGCCCTTTTTATATTTTATTTTGAGACATGATCTTGCTAAGTTGCTTAGGGCCTTGTTAATTGCTGAGGCTGGCTTTAAACTTGCGATCTTCCTGCCTCAGCCTCCCAAAGCTGTTTGAATTACAGGCATGTGCCACCATACCCGGCTTATTTTGAAAAGCAAATTGAGAAGCTCTTCATCTTATTTAGTGATTTGGAAAAAGATACCATGGTAGTAAATTAAGCATTTCCTTAGACATATGAAAGAATGGAACAATGTAATAATGAGGATCATGAAACAGAAAACAAGATAAAAAATGATTAGTTATTGCATTCCCTATTCACTTTTACTCGATTGCCCTATAAGATTAAGCATACACACTTTAGCTGCACACAGTGGTACATGCCTGTAATCCCAGTGGTTTGGGAGGCTGAGGCAGGAGGATCACAAGTTCAAGGCCAGCCTTGGCAATTTAATTAGGTCCTAAGCAACTTAGTGAGAACTTCTCTCAGAAAAAAGAACTAGCACTGTGGCTCAGTGGTTAAACACTCTGGAGGTTCAATCCCTGGTACAAATACAAACACATACACACACACACACACACACACACACACACACACACACATATACACACACACACACTTTAGATAGGTTATTCAAGAATATGGGATAATTACATAGTAACAAAGTAGACCAACTGCACACTAACTCATTTATTACTCTAACATTAATTGAACATCACTCTTTGGTAGAGTCTGTGCTTGAACTAGGAATGACAGAATAAACAAGACCTATATATGCCCAATAAATTTTAGAATCTAGGAGTAGACATTACATGGGGAGATATAAGATCTAAAGGACAAGTCAAAAGAAAGAGTGAGGATGTAGGGGAAAATGTATCTAGAGGAGAGCATCTAGTATAAATTGCTTGAGGCAAGTGATTTGGGGCATTAGGAAAATGCAAGTCCTTCAGAGGTATGGGTTTTAAATTAAGTTGGGTAAGGTTATTCAGATGAAGCTCTGAGTGGTGAGCAGGGACCATCCTCCTAGAAGATGTGACTACAGTTGAAAGACTAAAGCCTGTAATGGAAAAACAAACTACTTATTAGTATTTGCTTAGGATAATTTCTCCAGAGAGAAGTTTCTACCTGGGGCAGGAATGGAAAGTGCCCTGTGTTCTCTCTACTGCAGTGCAGTTGAACATGATGTACAAACTAGATATTCTATACACATCACTTCCTACAAGTTTCTGTGAAATTAGGATAATTCTGTCTTTTGGGGTGGGTACTGGAGATTGAATTCAGGGACACTAGACCACTGAGCCACATCCACAGCCCTATTTCATATTTTATTTAGAGACAGGGTTTCACAGAGTTACTTATGTCTTGCTTTTGCTGAGGCTGGCTTTGAATTCTCGATCCTCCTGCCTCAGCCTCTCCAGTTGCTGAGATTATAGGCATGCACCTTGGCACCTGGCAGTATATTTTTTATTTTGAGATAGAATCTCACCAAGTTGCTGAGGCTGGCCTTGAACTTAGAATTCTCCTTCCTTAGCCTCCCAGGTCACTAGGATTATAGCTGTTCTCCACAGTATCCAGCTTGAAAAAAAAGGCTTCTTGCTACATCATTCCATGGCAAAAGATGAGAGGATGACAGGGACAGAAAAGGGGCCTAAACTTACTCTTTCATTTACAATATCCCTACTCACAGAATAATAACATCAATCCCAGAATAGTGGCATTAATCCATTAATGATTGGAGAGCCCTCATGGTGCAATCATTGCTCATCAGTCTACACCTCCCAAAAGCATTGCACTCTAGGGATTAACTTTCCAATACATGTTTGTTTGGAGGACACATTCAAATCATAGCAGAGTCCATTCTATTAATAGATTATTTAAACTAGCTTATCTTAAACATAATTTGGCAAACTCAAAGCTGAAGGATACATGTTTTGATGGAAGTGAGAAAGCATTTTACACATTTTCTAGGAGTCTTGAGTTGCATCCAGTTGGGGAAGATTTTCCCAAGCATGATCAATTGATCAAAAGATAGATTGATTGATTTTCAGTAACCTTTGTTTGCTTAGAAACATTCTAGCTGATAATGGTGTCCCATATTCTAGAGGACTGCATATTCTCTTGACATCCCCAGGATTAAAATTAAACTAAAACTTTCCAAGAAGGGAGCTCAGTAATGCTTGCAATAAAAATATATATTATTAATTACTAGTAACTGTCAAGAGACTCATACAGGCTGGCATTGGGCAGATTTCTTATATGTTACTTACATTCCAATAGTAAAACTTCATATATATACATGAGCCAGAGAACAAGATAACATTGAACCCACATCACAGATACAAACCTTGAGTTTGTGGAACTTTGCAATTTTCTTGAGTTCACATAGTTTATAAGAAACAGGGCCAAGAAAAAACTCCCGGTCTGTATTCTTTTACAGCCCACATTTTTCTTTTCCTTCCAGACTGAGGCATATTTTGAATCTCTTAATTCATTTCTCTTCTTACTACTTCAACATCACAACAT